CCCCGTGCCCGCTTCAGCCAGGCCGCGGGGTGGGGAGCTGAGGCAGGTATGGAGCGGACTTGTTTGAGTAGGGGGCGGGGCCGGGGCGTGAGTTCCCCCTCCCCTTCCTGGCTTGTGGGGGGCGTCGACTAGGAGGGCGGGGCAAGGCCGGCCGGTCTGACTTCCTGTCTCCCCAGTTCAGAGGCCTCACCAAGCCCCCCTCCTGGAAGCCCCTGGAAGATCCCGAGAACCTGCCGGCCTGGGCCTTGTAGGCAGGCCAGGACAAACCCACATCCTGCGGGAAGGATGATCTGGGACTCGCCACTCAGAGCCAGACCCTGGGTGAGGCCTGCACCAAGCGCCGGCTGGGAATGATTACCCGGGATTAGGAAGGCCTGGCTCCAGCCAGTCTGGGAGAGACCCCCAAGGAGGGAGGCCCTGGCAGAGCGGCCCCACCTCCAGTTCTTCCTCAGAGAACAGCTCTGCTCCGGGTCTGTTGGTGGCCACAGATCTCACACCACAGGCCGGAGGCCACAGCCCCTGCTCAGGGTGACAGAAGACTTGACAGGGCAGCCCTGCTTCCAGGGAGGGGAAACCTCCTCTGTTCACACCAAGGCTTCACCCCGCCCCTGGGAACACTGCGCTCTCCGGGCTCAGACACATCCCAAGGGAAACCGGGGCTTCAGGGGACCAGGAGAGGCGAGAACGTGCCACCACGAGGAATCCAACAGGGCCTCTGGGTCACCTGCTCTCACCTCCTGTAGGGCTTGCTAAAAGTGAGGGTAACTGGGGGGTCGAAGGGGATGCACAGCCTGGGCTTTGCTTTTTTTAAGAGTCACTGTCGCCCAGACTGGAGTGCAGCAGCACGCTCATGGCCACTGCAGCCTCGACCTGTTGGGCTCAGGCTATCCATTCACCTCATCCTTCCAAGTAGCTGGACCCACAGGCGTGCGCCACCACGTGCAGCTAATAAAAAAAACCGATTTATTGTAGAGACAAGGTCTCATCAAGTTGCCCAGGCTGGTCTCGAACCTTGGGCTCAGGCAATCCTCTCACCTCCGCCTCCCAAAGTGCTGGGATAACAGGCGTGAGCCACCACGCCGGGCTACGTTCTGCACTTTTAACAAATCCCCAGGATTCTGGCGCACACACACACACAGACACGAGAGAAACGGTGGGGGGGGGCCGAGAATGCCAGTGCGAGGTCTGGTCCACACTGAGCGTGGCTTCTGCCAGACAGGGCCTGCCGTGTGGACTGGTGACCCTCTCCTCTGCCAGAAAGCACACGGAGAGATGCGGGAAAAGGTCAGGGGCAAGGACACCATCTTGTCTCTAGGCCGAGGGAAGCGGCGGAGGCGGGCGCAGGCCCTCAAGGCCCGGCTTCCTGGAGCCCACAGCTGGAGGGCTGGGGGGAGGGGCCGTCCACTCCCAGCTCCAGGGCGGCCCAGCCGCAGCCGGCTGAGACACCTGGTGGCCAAGCATGAAAGCACAGAGATGAAGGCCGCTCTTTTTAGTCACGGAAAAGGCTCCGTGGAAGGCGCCCGCGGCGGTATCAGTGTCGCGGTGGCAGGCACGCTGGACTCCAAGGCCACGCAGTGCAGGGGGCTTCCCGGGCCCCGATGCCACAGGGAAGCACCTAGGACCCAGTTCTAGGAAGTGCCGTCTCACGCCAGGCTCTGGGAATCGGGGGCAGAGGGGCCTGGTGCCACCATGCCACCTTGGCTCTGCAAGCTCAGGCTGGTTTTGGCATGAGGTCCTCTTCCCCGGCAGGTTGAGGGGCTGCCCCTGCCTTGAGTCAGCTGGCTCACTCCTGGGCCCTTCTCTCTGCAGTCTGCAGGCACCCGTGGTGCTCTCCTCGCCCTCCAGGCCCAGCACGCCACCCCCAGACATCTCTCAGACCCTGTAGGCTCTCTGCTGCACTCCTGCTTCCTCGACAGCACTGCTCGCGGACTCCGACCACGTTTCCTGCTGATCTGCCCACAGCCTGCTGGACTCTTGCACCAGAACACAGGTCCCGGGGAAGCAAGGCCGCGCCTGACTCTCCAGGGCCCACCGGCGGGGCTCCAAGCCCGGCGTGCGAGAGGAGGAGGCTCTCCACCGTCTGCTACACACAATCTTCTCCCCACAGAACGCTGCCCCCGGCCAGGCCACCCAGACAGAGAGGGGCCTGTGGCTCGGCCACAGGACAGAGGAGCCAGCAGAGGCTCCGCCCAGCCCGTCCTGCCAGGCTCAGCTCAGGTCCAGCTTGGCACTGCCAGCAGGTTTGGGTCACGTCGCAGGCTTGGCAGTGCCTGGCAGGTGGGCAGTGGGGACCTGGCCCGGGCTGGCCTCTGAGCTCTGCGGCCCGGACCCCTTTCTGCTGGCAGAGGGCTTTTTGGCCGCTGTCCCGTTCTCGTCCTTGATTTTCTTGAGACGCGCCTTGCTCTTGGGTGGGATGGAGAAGGTGAGGGAGCTCTTGTTGAACTCCAGCGGGAAAACACCCACGTCTCCGTCGAAGCGGTTCTTGGCCACCTGCAAATACCGCTTTCCCGGCCCAGTCGCCAGCTTCCTATCCTGCAGAATCAGAACGTTGTCCGCTTCCTGGCTCGCCTGAGGGAGGGGACAGGAGGACGGCAGGAGTAAGAAGACATGCAGGAGCCGGGCTCAGCGGCTCTGCCTGTCATCCCGCGCCTCGGGAGGCCGAGGGGAGTGGACGGCCTGAGCCCGCGGGTTCGAGACCCGCCTGGGCGGCCAGACCTCATCTCTACCATAAATCAAAAAATGAGCCGGGCGTGGTAGTGCATGCCTGTAGTTCCGGCTACTCGGAAGGCCGAGGCGGAAGGATCGCGGGAGCCCAGCAAGTCGAGGCTGCGACAGCCATGAGCCTGGGCGACAGAATGAGACTCCAACCCCCCCCCAAAAAAAGAAGACACGCAGGCGAAGCAGAAGGGAAGGCAGACGTGCAGGACGGCGTAGCCAGAAGGGGCAGGAAAGTGCCCCCGCCCCCACACCAAGGCTCAGCCACTCCGCTGGGCCACTAAGCCCCTCAAGCCCTGAGCTGGCTGCTGAGACTGCGCCACACGTCATGGACATCCTCCTCCAGCGTTTCCCCTCAACCTCAGCTTCCTCTCGCCAACCAGGTCTGCCTCAACATCACACTTCACAGAAGCCCCTCTTGATTCCCCCAAAGGAAGAAAGTACCATCTGGACTCTGCACTCCCTCTCTCCCAGCTCTGTGTCCGTTCCACTGCGGCCACGACTCATGCTCCTTACCCTGAATTCCCGTACCCAGCCCAGGTCTGGCACATCAGCAGGTGCTCCGCGCATCCCTGCGGCCCACAGGCCCCGTTCACCTGGTGACCCACTACCCACTGCCTGCCGGACCCTAGCCGGACCCCTGCTGCCCCTGGTGGGATGCCTCCCCGAGGTCGGCCCGGGCGGAGTCACACAGCCCTTCCCTTTGCTGCCCCCACATCTGTCCTCCCCATCTGAGTCGCCGCCACGGTCTCACCGTTTCCCCGCTAGGATGTGTGCTCCGGGAGGGCAGAGGACCAGCTGCCAGGATTCTGTGCTCCCGGCACACACACGCCTCACGTCATGGCCCAGAAGCACCGCCCCAGCCTCTTCCAGATGGCAGTCAGGATGACTTAAGGCAGAAGAGCCGTCCCCGGTGCTTCTGGCCCTCTCTAAAGTGTGAGCTTCTCCGCACGCTACTCACTTTGGCTGAGCCAAAAATGGATGCTGTCTGCAGTTCCTTATCATCATCCTCTTTCCGGGGGTGAATGACCAGCGTCACATGGCAGCTATTGTCTGTCGCAAACTTCCGAAAGGCCCCGACAATGTAGTCCTGAGCTGCAATCCTGCCCCATCCCCAAAGAGAGTAGGGGACTCAGAGGACAAGGACACACACGTGCCCCCAACTCAATCACATCTCCGCAAACCACCCCAGCCCGGGCCTTTCACCTTCCACCCAGAGACCCACACATGGTGCGTGCTGCCACAGCCCAGACCGCCACATAGCACACTCGGGCCGGACTGTGCCTGCACCCAGCTTGGAAACCAGAGCCTGTGTGTCTAGAGACCAGCCAGGCAAAAGGAGGGTGTCACCTGTCTGAGGACAGCTGCTCGTGACCCATCATGAACTGCAAGTTGTCGATGACCACGTGACAGATGTCATAGACGTAGACCGCATGTTGCATTGTGTCTATCACAGTCCTAGAAGGAAAAAAGGCAATGAATTCCAGAGCCATTCACAAGCCATCTCTGGCAACGCAGGCAGAGGAGCGGGCACCCGAAGGACTCTCCAGGCCTTGTTCAGCCTCCATTCTTTCGCGGCCCGGAAGGAGACCTGGGAGTGCCCGCTGGAGGTAGAAAAGGAACCACAGGTCCCGTGTGTGGGATCTGCCGGGGAAGCCGAGAGCCTGGAGCTGGGGTCTCACTTGATGCTTTGCTGCCCGTGGAAAGTCATGAAGTAGAGGGGCAGGTTCTCGAAGCGGTCGGCCCACTCGTCATATTTGTCCAGTTGCTCTTCCAGCCGCTTCTCAGCAAACTGCGTCAGCATGACCCGGGCGAGCCTCACGTTGCTGATCTCAAAGCTCCCCCACAGTGTGTTCACCCCCTGGGAGCACAGGTCCAGGGCGTACTCGCTGATGAAGGTCGTCTTCCCGCTGCCGGTGGGCCCTGCACAGGGTGGAACACAGTCCCAGGTGAGGAGGAAGGCCTACTCTGGAAACAGTGACACAGACCAGGGCTGCAAAGAAGGGGTGTGGTCAGGGGCCCAAAGCCACACGCTTCTGCCCGGCCCCTGCGGCCCACGTCGTGCCTTCCCAGGGCTACCTGTGAACACCGTCAGCTCGCCCTTGCGATGGCCCTTCAGGAGCCGGTTGAGGTCGGGGAAGCGGCTCCAACGGAAGCCAGCGACCTGCTCTATGTTGGCCAGTTCTCCCAGCACCTCTTCCCGAAGCTGCCGGAAGGACACGATGGACTTGTGCCAGGCGGGCAGAGCCGTGCGAAGAATACGCGAAAGACTCAAGCCTTTGTTCAGGGCGTCCAGGGGACGGGGCTGCTGGTCCCCGGGCCGCACCAAGGAGCATCGCTTGGGGTTCAGTTTTCGGGCAAACAACTTGGCAGCTTCCCAGGACCGAAGGTCATCCCCCAACCAGAACACCACGCGCCGGAACTGCTCCAGGTAAGGGAGCAAGGCCGGGGGCAGGCAGGCCGTTCCTCGGGGCAGGGCAAGGGTGGGCAGCCCCGTGGACTGGCTCAAGGCCAGGCTGTCCAGCTCCCGGCTCGTCAGCACCACCTCCACGTCTCGACGGCCGATCAGCGGTAACCCGAACAGGTTGTGGTAGGCGCCAGGCCGCGGGACGGTGGTCTCCTCGAAGCGCACGCCATCCCCCTGGCTCTCCGCCCCCAGGAGCTTCAGGCCTCGCAGTCCCAAGCCCCCCGGGGAGAACCAGGGGAAGACGAGGCTGCGCGCAGACCGCAGGTACCGCACGCTGAAGCGCTTGAGCGTGCCGTCCGTGACCTTGTCGAGGCCGAACATCAGCCGAGCCAGCTGAGCCTCCTGCGGGTCGGGCAGCTCCCAGAGCGGGACCGCTCGCTCCCAGATCCTCCGGACCTCCTCTCCGTCCTCGGCGTCGGGGGCCCTGCTGAGCAGGACGCCCTCCCGGGCCCCGGCCCCGGCCCCGCGCCCCTCCACGCTGGCCTGCAGGTCCTCCCAGCTGCCCTCGGCCAGGCTGGCCGTGCAGAGGAAGCGGCCTGTGGTCTTGTCGATGAAGAGGCTGAAGGGGGCGGCGGCGCCGGGCCGGTCCCCGGGCTCCGCGAAGGGGCTCGGGGCCCGCAGGCAGCTGTGGCCGTCCTGGAAGGGGATGCCGTGCCCGCGCAAGTACTGGCGGATCTCGGCGGCGGTCACGGGCGGCACGGGCACCTCCAAGGCCGGGAGGGCCTCCTTCCGGAACCGCCGGCGAGGAGGGCCCGGGCTCCGGGGCAGGCCCCTCCGGCCCACCCACCCGCC